TTAAAGTCCCCTACTATTATTGTATTATTGTTGATGTGTTTTTTTGATGTTGTTTTTAAATGGTTTATATAGTTGGCTGCTCCCATGTCAGGGGCATAGATACGTAAAATTGTTAGATCTTCTTGTTGGACAGACCCTTTGAGTATGATATAGTGTCTTTCCTTGCCGCTAATTATAGTCTTTGGCTTAAAATCCAATTTATCTGATAAAAGGATTGCCAGCCCACCTTTCTTTTGCTGTGCATTAGCATGGTAAATTGTTTTCCACCTCCTCACTTTAAATTTGGAGGTGTCTTTGGGTCTAAAATGAGTTTCTCAGGGGTGCTTGGGTGGCTCAATGGGTTAAAGCCTCTGCCTTTCACTCAGGTCATGATCCCAGGGTCCTGGGATTGAGCCCTGCATGGGGCTTTCTGCTCAGCAGGGAGCCTGCTTCCCCCTCTCTCTCTGCCTGCCTCTCTGCCTACTTGTGATCTCTGGCTGTCAAATAAATAAATAAAATCTTTTAAAAAAAAATGAGTTTCTCAGAGACAGCATATCATTGGGTGTTTTTTGTTTTTTGTTTTCCCATTCTGATACCTTATGTTTTTGATTGGGGGATTTAGCCTATTTACATTCAGGGTAGCTATTGAAAGATATGAATTTAGTACCATTGTATTGCCTGTAAGGTGACTGTTTCTGTATATTGTCTCTGTTCCTTTCTGGTCTGTTACTTTAGACTCTCTCTTTGCTTAGAGGACCCCTTTCAATATTTCCTGTAGAACTGGTTTGGTGTTTGCAAATTATTTTAGTTATTGTTTCTCTTGGAAGCTTTTTATCCCTCCTTCTGTTTTAAATGACAGCCTAACTGGATATAGTATTCTTGGCTGCATATTTTTCTCATTTAGTGCTCTGAATATATCCTGCCAGTCCTTTCTGGCCTGCCGGGTCTCTGTGGATAAGTCTGCTGCCAATCTAATATTTCTACAATTGTATGTTACAGACCTCTTGTCCCGAGCTGCTTTCAGGATTTTTCTCTTTGTCATTAATGCTTGTAAGTTTTACTATTAGATGATGGGGTGTGGACCTATTCTTATTGGTTTGGAGAGGGGTTCTCTGCACCTCTTAGGTTTTGATGTTTGTTCCCTTTGCCGTATTTGGGAAATTCTCTATAATAATTTACTCCAATATACCGTCTGCCCCCCTCTCTTTCTCCTTCTGGAATCCCAATTATTCTAATATTGTTTCATCTTATGGTATCACTTATCTCTCGAATTCTCCCCTCATGGTCCAGTAGTTGTTTGTCTCTCTATTGCTCAGCTTCTTTATTCGTTTTTTTGGTCTTCTATATCACTAATTCTCTCTTCTGCCTCATTTATCCTAACAGTAAGAGCCTCCATTTTTTAGGTTGTATACTTGAGACCTTTCTTGAGTTTCACATCATTAATAGCTTTTTTGATTTCAACTTGGTCAGATTTTAGTTCTTTTATTTCTCCAGAAAGGGATTTTTTTTTTCTCTAGAAAGGGATTCTCTAATATCTTCCATGCTTTTTTCGAGCCCAGCTAGCACCTTGATAATCATCATTCTGAATTCTAGTTCTGACATATTACTAATGTCCATACTGATTAGGTCTCTAGCTGTTGGTACCGCCTCTTGTTCTTTTTCTTCTGGTGAGTTTTTCTGCCTTGTCATTTTATCCCGATAAGAATAAATGAATGAGAGAACAAAATACTAAAAGCATGGTAAAGACCCAGAAAAATATACGCCAACCAAATCAGAAGAGACCCAAAACCGGGGGGAGAAGAAAGGGAGAAAAAATAAATAATAAGAAAATATGTATATATTAGAGTGGTGAATAGAACAGAGCCACCCACTTGATTTTGGGTGTATTCTCATCTCTTAGAAGAAACTACCTCCCAAAATTTTAAACAAGGAAAAACTTATATATATACAAAAATAAAGGTGAACATGATGAAGGGATGGAATATGACTGTAAAGATGAAAATTTAAAAAGATTCTAAAAAGAATTGATAAGATAAGAAGTTGGTTGGAAAAAAAAAAAGTGGAGAGAATGTGTTCAGGCTGGAGAATAGAACAAAGCCATGTGCTAGATTCTAGAGTATATTTCCATCTATTAGAAGAAATTGTATCCCAAAATTTTAAAAAAGATAAAAAACCTATATGTGTACAAAAAATAAGGTTAAATACAATGAAAGGATAATATATGACTATAATAATGAAAATTTAAAAGCTTTTTAAAAAAGTATTGATAAAATAGTTAAAAATGTTAAAACAGGAAAGAGGAAAAGTTTAAAAAATAGAATAAGAAAAAAATAACATTTAAAAAATTGAACTTTGCAAGACTAAAGGGTCATGGGGAAAAAGCCATGAGTTCTATATGTTGCTTTCCCCTAGCTCTGGAGTTCCAGAGTTCTCATTGATTGGTGAACATGGTCTGGGCTGGATGTTCTTGCTGATCTTCTGGGGGAGGGACCTGTTGCAGTGATTCTCAAATGTCTTTGCCCAAGGCAGAATTGCACCACCCTTGCCAGGGGCCAGGCTAAGTAATCTGCTTGGGTTCACTGTTGGTAGCTTTTATTTCCTGAATGATTGCCATACAGCTCTGGAGGACAGGAATGAGGATGGCGTCCTCCAAATCTCCAGCCTGTAGGAGCTGAGAGCTCAGGGCCCCACTCCTCAGTATGCCCTCAGAGAAAAGCATTCAATCCCTCCTGTCTCCCTGGTCTCTGGCCGCACTCCTGTGCTTACCCAGCCTGTGGCCACGTGTTTCTATCTCTGGCACACGGCCCCCTTTGGAGTTTCCAAACACACCAGGTTCCTACATCATGCTCCTGCACCACTCCTCCCAGAGGAGAAAGCGGCGGGGGGGGGGGCGGATCCTCTCCAGGTCTGCCACTTGTGGGGTCACTGCTTGAAGAGCAGTGTCCCAACTGTGCCTTGGATCATGGTTTTAGGTAACCCCGAGGTGAGAGCGCACTCCTTAGCTCCGTCCCTGTAGCTGGCTTTCTTGCTGCAATATCTAGGAGCTCTGCCACACTCAGACATCCCCAGTCTTTCTGTGACCCCTTGGGTCCTGAGACCACACTATTCCCATGAGGGCTCCACCCCCCACTTAGCGTCTGGAGCGACATCCCTCAGTGGAGCAGACTTCTAAAAGTTCCAATTTTGTGCTCTGCTGCTCTACCACTGCTGGGAGCCAGCCCTTCCCCCTGCAGTCTGTCTTCTTGTTGCTTTGGATTCACTTCTCCACGTGTCCTACCTTCCAGAAAGTGGTCTATTTTCTGTTCCTAGAATTGCTGCTCTTCTCTTCTATCTCCTGTTGAGTGTGTAGGTATTCAGACTGGTTTGATAACTATCTAGCTGAACTCCTAGGACTGATGATATTTTAGTTTCCTACTCCTCCATCATCTTCCCTCCTCCTCCTCAAGAGATACTCTTCTTTTTGATAAGCCTTTGTCTGGTTTGGGTTTCAGGATAATTCCACGCATAGAATGAGTTGGGTAGTGTTTTTGCCTTTTTTATATTTTGGAAGTTTGTGAAGACGGGATTGTTTTTCTGCCTTAAATTTTTGGTAGAATCAATAATGAAGCCATCTGGGCCTGGAGTTTTCTTTGAAAAAAATTTTTTTTGTAAAATCTATAGTGGTATGTTGTTCGCTTTTATGTCTTATTGGTAATTTGTATATTTTTGTTGTTTTCCTTAGTCTAGAGGTTTATTAATTGTATTGGTCATTTCAGAGAACCCACTTCTGATGTTATTGATTATACTGTATTCTTGGGACACCTGGTTGTCTCAGTCAGTTAAGCATCTGACTCGTGGTTTCAGCTCAGGTCATGATCTGAGGGTCGTGAGGTCAAGCCCCATGTCAGTCTGAGCTCAGCATGGAGTCTGCTTGAGAGATTCTCTCTCTCCCTCCTCTCTGCCTGTCTCCTGCTCATGAGTGCACACATGCATGCTCTCTCTCTCTTTCATAAATGAATAAAATAAGATCTTTAAAAAAGATTACTTCATGGTAGCCTACCCTATGCACTAACGAATGAATCCTTATCAAGTTTTTATTGCATATAGTATCATAGTCATATTCAAAAATCGGTTTTGGAAACATTGTTACATTATTGTTTCTTTTCAAATAGTATTTAAGTATATTTTGATAAGCACTTATTCGTAGATTAACTTGATCCTTTTGAGGCTTGTTTTAAAGCTTTGTTGGAGTAGATATAAGGTAGCCTTTACTCTAGAGCTAGTTTAGCCCTACTCTTAAGGTGTGTTTCTTTCCAAAGAGGCTACTAAATGCTCTAGGTGTCTAAGTTTCCAGGACTGGCTGGCCAGATCTCAAATATTTCTCAACCCTGTATAAGTTAGAAAAGATATTCATCTTCTAGCTCCTTGGAAATTGTTCTTTGCTTACTTTCATAAAATTTTACCCTCTGTGTACATAGCTTATATTCAGCCCTATGGAGAGCTCTGAAGCTCTTTTTCCGTGTAGCTTCTGCTTCTCCAATACTCTGCTCCATAAACTCTAGCTACCCTTGCCTTCCTGACTCTAATTTCTGTATTCTCAACTTAGAAACACTGTCGTAATGTATTTGGGTTCACCATTTTCTGCTGTTGTCCAAAAATTACCTCAAAACACAAAACTGGGGCAATTTTAGGATTTACCTCATTTGTTTTTGTTTCCTCAGAGATTGTGTTTCTATGCTACCTATTGCTCCATGTCTGTAAAATAGTTATTTTATACATTTTTGTCCAGTTTTATAGTTTTTGGCCTCACGACAGGTATAAAACCAGGTCCCTGGTCAGGTATGAATATCTTATTTATTTCTGATCAGCACTATTTTTTATCTCCTGATGCTGAAGTTGAATGGTATTTATTTGCTAAATGGTCATTGTTTGTTTAGATTAATGATAAGCTCATTTTTACTTATTAATTTTTCATCTGTTGTTATAGACCTATCTCAAGACAATTAAATCTAACCCACCTACTCTTTATTCTTTATAAATAGGCAGTGTAGCCAATCAGGTGTTCCACCAAGTGATGTTTGACAAATGTATTCAGATTCTAAAGAAGAGCTGGCCTCAGGAATCTAACTTGAATCGGAAAAGAAAGAAAGAGCAGCCTAAGCATTCTGAGACAAATCCAAGAGGGAATAGGAAAAGAGGAAAGCCACCTAGGAAAGAAGATATTGAGGTAAGAAGTAAATGTAATAATAAAACATATCTGTATCAACACAAGATTGTGATTTAAGAATTAACTTTTATTTTAAAGATTTTATTTATTTATTTGACACAGAGAGAGAGAGAGAGAGACTGAGCACAAGTAGGCAGAGAGGCAGGCAGAGAGCCGGGTGGGGGGGGAAGCAGGCTCCCTGCTGAGCAGAGAGCCCGATGCGGGGCTCAATCCTAGGACCCTGAGACCATGACCTGAGCAGAAGGCAGAGGCTTAACCCACTGAGACACCCAGGCACCCCAACAATTAACTTTATATTAAATATGGTTTTGGGGGGCGCCTGGGTGGCTCAGAGGGTTAAGCCTTTGCTTTCAGCTCGGGTCATGGTCTCAGGGTTCTGGGATGGAGCCCCGCATCAGGCTCTCTGCTCAGCAGGGAGCCTGCTTCCCTTTCTCTCTCTGCCTGCCTCTCTGCCTACTTGTGCTCGCTCTCTCTGTCAAATCAAAAAAAAAAAAAAATGATTTTGGGCATCATGATTATAACCAAATGATCCCAAAGTATCATCAGCTATCCATATGACCTTAAGTTGTTTCATGCTTTGTGTACTACTGAGAATACATTTCTACCTTGTCATCTTTCCAACCTCCCCATAATCTCTCACCAGCCTTATTCCCAGGTATGCTTGTCAACATCCCAACGGGTGTATTTGCCACATTATCTTATCATCATTAAAGAGAAAGATTGAAGTATCTGAGGACTCATGTCCGTAAGAGTGTAATGGAATAATATTAATTCCATATTCTTGTGTGATGACTGGGTAGGATGGTGGATGTTCTTTGACATGAAAACTTACAAGAAACAAAAGAATTCCCATTGACACAAAAATACAGAGCTAGAAACTGCTCTGCAGTCATCTAGTCCAATGATTTATTCTTCTGGCTTTGGAGACAGAGCAGTTAAGGGACCTGATCAGGGTCATATCACCTCAGCAATTCAGCAATCACGTGGAGTGTAACTGGACTTGGATTTGAGTACATTGAAAACCATGGGACAAAGTGTTAGGCATTACTATGCAGTAGGTGAAGCAGGCATCACCTAAACATATCTTTATAATCTAGGTGGATGAAATAGAAGAACAGGAAGATGAAGAAAGTATTTGTTTTTCTGCTCGAGACCTTTGTCAAATTCGAAATACCATCTTTCACCTTTTGAAGAATTTTTTAAGGCTGCTGTCTAAATTTTCTCTGAAAGAAAAGCCACAGTGCATACAAAATTGCATAGAAGTAAGTGAGAATTCCAAAAAATCTTGGGGCAACCTCAAAGGGCAGAGATGATGGCTAATACTTAATAAGTAGGAAAAATCAGCTGTCTCCTTTGTATCTGTTTTCCAGGTCTTTGTTGCATTAACTAATTTTGAACCAGTTCTTCATGAATTTCATGTGACCCAGGCCAGGTGAGCCACTAATTCTTCCAATGCTAAAATTTTGCTCTAGCAAAAGTATAAATGCCGTTTTATCCTAACTGACACACAAGAAGAATTTATTCATTTAGATGTGGTTTATTATAGGGTTACAGAAGATTCAGAGTAATATTGTGTCCATTAATTAATCTTTTGCCTTTTTTCTTTAGAAACCTTAACCAAGTAAAATATGTACCAGAACTGGCCTATCATGGATTGTATTTGCTGTGCTCCCCCATTCATGGAGAAGGAGATAAGGTAAAGGAGAAAAAGATTTAATTTAATTACTAGTTGAATTGAAAGCATCTGAATCATATAATGGAAAAACATTGGCAGCATTTGGTGTAATTGCCATTTTAATTTACCAAGTCATTTTCATGATCTTAGGTCATTTGTAGCAAAAAAAGCATCACTGTTCCTGTTTGCTACCTGTTCTTCATAACCAAACTGGTATTCAAATACTTGGAGGGTATGGCAAATTACTGTTAGGTTTCATACAAAAAATGGTTCCAGTGTGAATTAGATAGGAAGAACACTGAATAGAATGTCACTTTTAGAGAAACAGTCACCAGATTGTTCTCAAAAGAGCAGACAGTCGTGGAATTTTCAAGTTTTCCTTGGCAAGTTTCATGTGTGCTTCAGTATTTCTATTAGTGTTTGTATCATTTCAGTTGAGAATTCTATAGAAATATCACTGGTTATCATTCCTAGTCAATATTTATATATGGATTTTCCTCACTGAGAGAGTATCACTATCTAAACTTTGGAGTCAGGGTTGTTCAAGCATTATGGTGTTACTAGACTTGGATGTGATTAATAAAACAAGATTTTACAAAAAATGTAATAGAATGAGGCCCTATGACTTTTGGTGTCTGTGCTACACTTAATTTCCAGGGTGAGTCCCGTGTTGGTTAAGAAGTAGGTTCAAAGATGGTGACTAACATAACACAATAAAAATTTAAAAAAATAAAATAAAATAAAGTCAATTAGTCTTTGGGAACAAAAAAAAAAAGAAGAAGAAGAAGTAGGTTAAGGGCACCTGGGTAGCTCAGTCAGTTAAGCACTGACTCTTATTTTTGGCTCAGGTCATGATCTCAGGGTTCTGGAATCAAGCCCCACGTTGGGCTTGGCATTCAGCATGGAGTCTGGTTGTCCCTTTCCCTCTCCTCTTCCTCTCTCTCTCTCTTTCTCATAAATAAATAAAATCTTAAGAAAAAGAAAAGAAATAGGTTCAGGACTTTGGGCCAGATTGTGTACATCAGTGGTTGAATTCTGGCTCCACCCCCTTCAGCTGTGCCTCCTTGTATGAGGTACTCAGCCTTTCCAAAGCTTCAGTCTTTCCACAGCGTTGTCAGGAGGAGGAAATGAAAGAATACTTCTCAGATGCTGAGTGCCATGCCTGTTTAGAAAACATGCCATGTTTTATAATTTATTATACCATTTTCCTTTCTGTGTTTAAAATATTGGTGGGATAGAATTCACATGAGTGCTTTCAATTTCTGTGCTCTTTGTAACATTTGTAAAGGTTAGCTGGATGGGGAAATTTATGCCTTTAGGTCTACAGCATTTCTCAAGATGTAGTATTTTTTAATTGTGAGAGGGTTGACTAGATGTCAGACATGTTGGTTTTAGCCATGGAGGCTCTTTTATCAGGTATAAAGTGAAAATTATATATATATATATATAATGGAAATGCCTCACTTATGCAGTTGTTGTGAGGTTTGAGATTAAAGCTAGTAATATATATGAATGTGCTTAACGCAATACCTGCCACATATGTGGTTTTCTGCACATGTTTTATTTACAGGGTGAATGAATGGTTAGTCAAATAAGTTATATGAGGTGTTATATTGGAAGGCGTGTTGTAAACTTCAGGTAAAACACAAGTGTAAAATACCATTCTTCCCTTGTTCTATAAGGGTTTAGCAGGAGCATTTTTTTGCCATTTAAAAGTGACAATTAGTCCTCTATTTACCCTAATTTCAGGGCTACAGTTTGAAAGCGTAGGGAGAAAAACTACATGACATTCCTATCACTACCTGTAAGCAGTGTTTTCACATTGTTTCCATCATGTGTTTATTGAGTACTTGGTAATTGTCCAAGAAACAACGTTTCTGGTGTTCATCCAAAAACTCTTGTCAACCCAACTTATCTTCACACAGCTTGAAATGGTTTACGCTGGGGCACCTGGGTGGCTTAGTTGGTTAAGCGTCTGCCTTCAGCTCAGGTCGACCCAAGGGTCCTGAGATTGCGTCCTGTGTCAGGCTCCTGTCTCAATGAGGAGCCTGCTTCTCTCTCCTCCTCTGATCCCCAACCCCCAACTTGTGCGAGTGTGCTCTCTCAAAAAAATAAAATCTTAAAAAAAAAACAAAAAAAAGAAAAAGAAATGGTTTACTGTGGTCTGCATCACTCTCTTTGAGGCTCTTGGATTCTTTATCAATCCTTAAATAGAATTTTCTTCTCTTCCAGGTTATAGGTTGTGTTTTCCATCAAATGCTGAATGTGATATTAATGTTAGAAGCAGGTGAAGGAGCCCATCGTGCTCCCCTTAGTATTACAACATCAGTTATCAACGGTAGAAAGCAGGCGGTCCAGTTTATCAGGTGAGGCATACACAGCTTAGATTTTCACTCTCTTTATCACTCTCTCTTAAACCTCCTCGGCCCTGTACTAGCCAAGATTTCTAACACCTATGGAAACTAACAGATTTTTGGCCTGTTATGGTTTTGGGGGTCAAAGTAAAGCACTTCAGAGATCATCTGGTTCACATGGCCCGGAGTTCATTGTTGGTAGCCTCTGCACAGGGTCATTGCTGAGGGATACAGAGTCTGTAATTCATGGACTAGCACTGGCCTCCAGCTTGATTCCCACAAGCCTGTAAAGTCAGGCTCTGAGGAATGACAGTTTGCTTCTCATCTGTTTTATCATTTAGCTCAGTGTTTGCCTCTCTTACGAGTCTGCCTCTTCTTTTCCTTTTTGTATTTCTGTCTTCTTTTAGTCTCTTTCTTTTTGTTCGTTGCCACTTTTTCCATGTTTCTTCTCACTTTTCTATCCTTTTTCCCCTACAACCATACTTCCTAAAGGGAAGAATTAAGTTAATTTTTACTTCTTTAACAATAATTGATAGACTAATTTTCCCCTCATGAATCACATAGCTTCCCCTAAAAAGTTCCATTTCTCGGCTTTACTGGGGAAGATATTTTTGCTATGTCATTGGCTTTTCTTTCCCTCCGTTATTGAATTTTTGGCATGCACTGTGGAGGTGGTGAAATGAAGTGGTAAGTATATGAGAGTGTGTACATGCCTGCAGGTATACATGGAATACAGTGTAGTTGGAGATGTGGGGTGTGGATGGTAGAATCCAGATATATATAGGCTGTCATCTGATCATTGAACAAATATCTCTTGTGGGGGGTTTCTTAAAACATTAAATAGCTAAGATGCTTTAAGTGGAAACACCCATTTTGGTTCTTCCATAACAGTTCATGATGTCTCCAATTGCTGTAGTAGCCACATAATGGTACAGATAAACACTAGAGATGGGTCAAATCTGGGCATTACTGTGATAATCTGGGGCACCTGGCTGGCTCAATTGAAAGAGTGTGTGACTCTTCATCTTGGGGGTATGGGGTTGAGTCCACATTGGGGGTAGAGGTTACTAAAATAAGTAAGTAAACTTAAAAAAAAAAAACCACAATAATAATCTTGGATTAAAGTTTGGAGACGTATTATTAACAAAGCTGTTGAAATAGTAGCATTTCACTCAGCTACCACAAGGTGGTGCCATGTCTTATTTATTATTATTTACCCCAAAAAAGATGTATTTTAAAGTCTCAATGTGAAATTTGGTATATAGCCAAAAAAGTCATACAAAGTTTGCGCATTTGCTCTTCCCTGACTGTAGCTGTCTGCTTGGCAACAGCTCTCTAAAAACACACATAGGACATAGTGAATGATCTTCTGCTGTGAAACTATTTTACTCTATTCACTGAAACAATGCTTGCAATATGGGGTAAATAGTTTTTAATATTCAGGACTTTTAAAACATAGAAGTCATGGTGTTTGAGAACAGAATTGAAAAATTACTATTCTGTGTAGTTGGTGTATTGTAAACAGTGGGTGTGGTTTCTTTTTTAAATAGTTCACTTGTGGATGAACTGAAGGAAATTGTATTCCCAGTCCTTCGTATCTTACTCCAGCACATCTGTGCCAAGGTACCATTTGCTTTAATGGTAATAGTAAGAATGATAAAGATGATGATAAAAATATATACTAGATGTGAAGGTAAATGTGTATGCTTGTGTGTATATTTGTTCTTGTGAATGAGTCTATTATTCATTATGGAAAGTAGTTTTGTTTAGTATTTTCACTACATGTTCCCATTGACAATGTTCTTTTTTAGAATATGTGATGAGCACCTACCTTCAACAATTTTGCATCACTTATACCCCTATAATGTATAATTTCATCAACACATGTAAACATTGGGTTTTTCTTTTTTTAAGCAAATTCCACCATATCCATTGATGCTTAAATATTTCATATGTATCTCTAGAGGATAAGAACCCTAAAAACATAACCAATAAATACTAACACACCAAAGAAAATAAATACAATAATTCCTTAATATCATCAAATATCTGGTTAATGTTCAAATTTTTATGATTATCTTTTCAATTTCTATAGCAGTTTGGACAAATGATTCTTAATTTGAATACAGTAGATTCTAGGGGGGTTCCATAAACTTTCTGAAATTTTGTGCTAAGTTTGAATTTCTGAGGGAAGGGCTTATAGATTTCTTACAGATTAGTTTTCAAAGGGGTTTGGAACCTAAAATTTGCTAGTCATTTTTATGACATTTAAAGATTCACTGAATAGTTTTATTCACTAATTTTCTGCTTGTATCACAACTTGTGTTTCAGTTGTCCTGTAGGTAGATATTGGCTGGACAGCCTCTCAATGCTTATATTTCAGGTGACTGATAAATCAGAGTATCGGACCTATGCAGCCCAGTCCTTGGTCCAGCTGCTCAGCAAACTTCCCAGTAGGGAATATGCTACATTCATTGCCTGGCTTTACAGATATTCACGAAGTTCGAAGGTAGGAGATATGCATAAAATCTTGATTCCTGGCTCTTGCAACCTCCTGACAGACAGATCTGAATACACAAGGGATACTTTGGTTTTTATTCCTGTCTGATGGAGATTCTTATGATTTTGCTTTATCAGATCCCACACAGGGTTTTTACTCTAGATGTTGTCTTAGCTCTATTGGAACTGCCTGAAAGAGCGGTAGATAACACTCTCTCGATGGAGCATCAGAAGATCTTAAAGCATAAGTTCTTGGTACAGGAAATTATATTTGACCGTTGTGTAGACAAGGCACCGACTGTCCGCAGCAAGGCACTGTCCAGTTTTGCACATTGCCTGGAGGTATCTGTTACCACTGCATCGGAGAGCATACTGGAACTTCTGAGTAACAGTAAGTGTGGTAACCATTGGGACATGGAACCTGTCTTGTGCTTTTCAAGAAATTGGACTGTAAGGAAAATCATTCTTTGTTGTTGCAAAAGTAATTGATACAGTATGATATACTTTGACCCTCATAAACCAATTTCAGTATATTTTGTTGTTGAATAACTTTTTAAATACAGACATTCCTTGGAGATTTTATGGGTTTGGTTCCAGACCGCCACAGTAAAGCAAATACTGTAGATAGAGCAAGTCAAATGAATTTTTTTGTTTCCCAGTACATATAAAAGTTATGTTTACAATACACTGTTGTCAGTTAGTTGGCGATAGCATTATGTCTAAAAAAAGTACTTACTATAATTAAAATTACTTTTTGCTAAAAATGCTAAGTATCATGTGAGCTTTCAGCAAGTTGCAGTCTTTCTGCCAGTGGAGGGTCTTGCCTCAGTGTTGACGGCTGCTGACCAATCAGTGTGGTGGTTGCTAAAGGATGGGGTGGCTCTGGCAGCTTCTTAAAATAAAACAGTGATAAAGTTTGCCACATCAATTGACTCTTCTTTTCACAAATGATTTATCTGTAGTAGGTGATACTTCTTCCAAAATTGGAGTTCATTCCCAACGCTCACAGCTTCTTTACCACAAGTAGATTCCATCCTAGGAAACCACTGTCTTTGCTCACCCGTAAGAAGCTACTCTTCATTTGGTCAAGATTTGTCATGAGATTGCGGCAATTCAGTCACATTTCCAGGCTTTGCTTCTAATTCTGCTTCTCTTCATGTTTGCACATCTGCAGTCAGAACACATATACCATTTATTAGGTTTGCTATGTTATATGGGTATGGTTCATAGTATCCCAAAACAATTATAATAGTAACATCAAAGATCACTGTTCACCATCAATATGAAGAAGTTTGAAGTATTTTGAAAATCACCCAAACCTGGCAGACACAAAGCAAGCAAATACTTTTGGAAAAACGGCACCCATAGATTTGCTTGTTGCAGTTCCCACAAATTCTCAATTTGTTAAAACTGCCGTATCTATGAAGCACAGTAAAGCAAAGTGTGATAAAACAAGGTACACCTGTTAGACAAGCCTGACAAGTTTGAAAGGCCTTTTAGAGCATTTTAGATATTCATGTTTTAGAGGTGAGATTGTTGGCTGCCTGTACCACTACTTTGCATTGTTGGGTATTGGCTATATTGGGCCTAATATCCAACCATTTCAAATGCATACCAAAGAGAACATTATTGTCAGCAGTTTAGAATCTGTTTTGTGTTTAGGCCTAATTATCTTGATTTTGGTGATTCTTTCAGTATTTACTTGGTACTGATGATACTATGACATTTTCCCCTCTTTTTCAATCTGCTTATTTTTAGGTCCTGCAATTTCAAGAATAGAGAGCCGTCCTGGTATCTTACCGAGAAATTCATCAGGTAATGGGTGAATATATTTTCCAATATTGAATAATTGTCTTTTGTTTAAAGGACTTGCTGGGTATTTGACATGTTTTTTTCTATTTCCATATTTACCTTTTTAATATTGAACTTTATTCATCAAGGAAATTGAAATTCATTTCAATAATGATGTAATAATTTATTTTTTTTAATTTTTTTTATGATGTAATAATTTAAATGTGTAATATGCCTTGCTTATTATTACTAAGAGGTATAACAAATTTTTATCTTAATGACTTATCTTTTTTTTAATTATTTTTAAGCTTTTTCCTTTCAGAGGCAAACACTTAACCCTTCTGGAGGCTCAGGGGTGAACAATATAGACAGCAGTGGTGAAACAGATGGATCTCGGGGTATGTCAGATTTTATTACTATCAGATGAGTAATAACTATTGGATTTCAGACAACTGTAAGTAGAATCTAAAAACCTTGGATTTTTTTTTCTGATTAATTCACCCTTAACAATTGGAGCATCCTTCTTTTTAAAAGTGGAATAATTTCTATTTTATTGTATCTCTGATGTCTTCGCGCTATACTCTGTTTCATCTTAAGGTAAAGAAAAGGTACATTCCACTGACTATGTCCTGAACCTCAGTATTTCTGTAACACATAAGAGAATATTAGCAAATACTTTATTTCCTTATTAAAGGCAGTCATTGTGAACTCTTGGGATTGCTGACCGCTGACTGAAATGGGACCAGCTGCTAGAGAAAGTGCCGCACATAATAAATTTGTGTTTGGAGAAAAATCATCATTTAAAAAAAAAAGGGAAAGATGAAGAATACCTTTGTACCCAATCTTGTTCCTACTTTTAATTCTTCATTACTTTTTTCACCATTTCATCTTGACTCTGATCAGGCATCCCAGAATTCACCTTTAATAAATGATGGGGAACTGTGAATTGAAGTTCACGTTGAAAAAAGTAAATTCAGGGGCGCCTGGGTGGCTCAGTGGGTTAAGCCGCTGCCTTCGGCTCAGGTCATGATCTCAGGGTCCTGGGATCGAGCCCCGCGTCGGGCTTTATGTATCACATCTTTATCCATTCATCTGTTGATGGACATCTAGGTTCTTTACATAGTTTGGCTACTGTAGACATTGCTGCTATAAACATTTGGGTGCATGTGCCACTTTGGATCACTACATTTGTATCTTTAGGGCAAATATCCGGTAGTGCAACTGCTGGGTCATAGGGTAGTTCTACTTTCAATTCTTTGAGGAACCTCCTTACTGTTTTCCAGAGTGGTTGCACCAGCTTGCATTCCCGCCAGTAGTGTAGGAGGGTTCCTCTTTTTCTGCATCCTTGCCAACATCTGTAGTTACCTGACTTGTTAATTTTAGCCATTTTGACTGGTGTGAGGTGGTATCTCATTGGTTTTGGTTTGTATTTCCCTGATGCCGAGCAATGTTGATCACTTTTTCATGTGTCTGTTGGCCATCTGGATGTCTTCTTTGCAGAAATATCTGTTCATGTCTTCTGCCCATTTATTGATTGGATTATTTGATCTATAAAGATTGTTGGATACTAGCCCTTTATCTGATATGTCATTTGCAAATATCTTCTCCCATTCTGTCAGTTGTCTTTTGGTTTTGTTGAGTGTTTCCTTTGCTGTGCAAAAACTTTTGATCTAGAAGTAGTCCCAATAGTTAATTTTTGCCCTTGCTTCCCTTGACTTTGGCAGCGTTTCTAGGAAGTAGTTGCTGTAGTTGACATCGAAGAAGTTGCTGCCTGTGTTCTTCAGGATTTTGATGGATTCCTTTCTCACATTGAGGTCTTTCATCTATTTTGAGTCTATTTTTGTGTGTGGTGTAAGGAAATGGTCGAGTTCCATTTTTCTGCATGTGGCTGTCAAATTTTCCCAATACCATGTTGAAGAGACTGTCTTTTTTCCATTGGAGAAAATTTTGGAAAAAATTAGAAAGACTTTTCCTGCTTTGTCGAAGATTAGTTGAAGGATTCTGGGCTCTCTGTTCTGTTCCACTGATCTATGTGTCTGTTTTTGTGCCAGTACCATACTGTCTTGATGATTAGAGCTTTGTAATAGAGCTTAAAGTCTGGAATTGTGAGGCTACCAGTTTTGTTTTTCTTTTTCAACATTCCTCTGGCTATTCGGAGTCTTTTCTGGTTCCATATAGATTTTAAGATTATTTGTTCCTTTTCTTTGAAAAATATTGATGGTATTTTGGTAGGTATTGCATTACATGTGTAGATTGCTTTAGGTAGCATAGACATTTTCACAATATTTGTTCTTCCAATCCATTAGCATGTAACATTTTTCCATTTCTTTGTGTCTTCCTCCGTTTCTTTCATGAGTACTTTATAGTTTTCTGAGTACAGATACTTTGCCTCTTTGGTTAGGTTTATTCCTAGGTATCTTACGGTTTTGGGTGCAATTGTTAGTGGGATCAACTCCTTAATTTCTCTTTCTTCTCTCTTATTGTTGGTGTAAAGAAAAGCAACTGATTTCTGTGCATTGATTTTATATCCTGACACTTTACTGACTTCATGTATAGGTTCTAGCATATTTGGAGTGGAGTCTTTTGGGTTTCCCACATAAAGTATCATATCACCTGCAGAGAGTGAGAGTTTGACTTCTTCTTTGCTGATTCAGATGCCTTTATTTTTTTTGTTGTCTGACTGCTGAACCTAGGACTTCTAGTATTATGTTGAATAGCAGTGCTGATAGTGGACATCCCTGCCATGTTCCTGACCTTAGGGGGAAAGCTCTCAGTTTTTCCCCACTGAGCATAATATTCGCTGTGGGTTTTTCATAGATGGCCTTGATGATATTGAGGTATGTACCCTCTATCCCTATACTGTGAAGAGTTTTGATCAAGAAAAGATGCTGTACTTTGTCAAATGCTTTTCAGTATATATTATCATATGGTTCTTGTTCTTTCTTTTATTAATGTATCGCATTCATTGATTTGCAGATGTTGAACCAACTTTGCAGCCCAGGAATAAGTCCCACTTGGTTGTGCTGAATAATACTTTTAATGTACTGTTGGATCCTATTGGCTAGTATTTTGGTGATAATTTTTGCATCTGTGTTCATCAGGGATATTGGTCTGTAATTCTCCTTTTTGCTGGGGTGTCTGGTTTTGGGATCAAGATAATGCTGGCTTCATAAAATGAGTTTGGAAGTTTTCCTTCCATTTCTATTTTTTGGAATAGTTTCATGAGAATAGGTATTAATTGTTCCTTAAATGTTTGGTAGAATTCTCCCGGGAAGCCATCTGGCCCTGGGCTCTTGCTTTTTGGGAGATTTTTGATGACTCCTTCAATTTCCTTACTGGTTATGGGTCTGTTCATGTTTTCTATTTCTTCCTGGTTCAGTTTTGGTAGTTTATATGTCTCTAGGAATGCATCCATTTCTTCCAGATTGTCAAATTTGCTGGCGTGTAGTTGCTCGTAATATGTTCTTATAATTGTTTGTATTTCTTTGGTGTTGGTTATGACCTCTCATTTTTCATTCATGATTATATTAATTTGGGCCCGTTCTCTTTTCTTTTTGATAAGTCTGGCCAGGGGTTTATCAGTCTTATTAATTCTTTCAAAGAACCAGCTCCTAGTTTCATTGACTTGTGCTACTGTTCTTTTGGTTTGTATTTCATTGATTTCTGCTCTTATCTCTGTGATTTCTTTTCTCTTGCTGGGTTTAGGCTTTCTTTGCTCTTCTTTCTCTAGCTCCTTTAGGTGTAGGGTTAGGTTGTGTACTTGAGACCTTTCTTGTTTCTTGAGAAAGACTTGTATTGCTATATATTTTCTTCTCAGGACTGCCTTTGCTGTGTCCCAAAGATTTTGAACAGTTGTGTTTTCATTTTCATTTGTTTCCATCAATTTTTAAAATTCTTCTTTAATTTCCTAGTTTACCCATTCATTCTTTAGTAGGATGCCCTTTAGTCTCCATGTATTTGAATTATTTCCAACTTTCCTCTTGTGATTGAGTTCTAGTTTCATTCAGAGCATTGTAGTCTGAAAATATGCAGGGAATGATCCCAGTCTTTTGGTACGGGTTGAGACCTGATTTATGACCCAGGATGTGATCTATTCTGGAGAATGTTCCATGTGCACTAGAAAAGAATGTGTATTCTGTTGCTTTGGAATGGAATGTTCTAAGTATATCTGTGATGTCCATCTGGTCCATGTATCATTGAAAGCCTTTATTTCCTTGTTGATCTTTTGCTTAGATGATCTGTCCATTTCAGTGGGGGGAGTATTAAAGTCCCCTACTATTATTGTATTATTGTTGATGTGTTTTTTTGATGTTGTTTTTAAATGGTTTATATAGTTGGCTGCTCCCATGTCAGGGGCATAGATACGTAAAATTGTTAGATCTTCTTGTTGGACAGACCCTTTGAGTATGATATAGTGTCTTTCCTTGCCGCTAATTATAGTCTTTGGCTTAAAATCCAATTTATCTGATAAAAGGATTGCCAGCCCACCTTTCTTTTGCTGTGCATTAGCATGGTAAATTGTTTTCCACCTCCTCACTTTAAATTTGGAGGTGTCTTTGGGTCTAAAATGAGTTTCTCAGGGGTGCTTGGGTGGCTCAATGGGTTAAAGCCTCTGCCTTTCACTCAGGTCATGATCCCAGGGTCCTGGGATTGAGCCCTGCATGGGGCTTTCTGCTCAGCAGGGAGCCTGCTTCCCCCTCTCTCTCTGCCTGCCTCTCTGCCTACTTGTGATCTCTGGCTGTCAAATAAATAAATAAAATCTTTTAAAAAAAAATGAGTTTCTCAGAGACAGCATATCATTGGGTGTTTTTTGTTTTTTGTTTTCCCATTCTGATACCTTATGTTTTTGATTGGGGGATTTAGCCTATTTACATTCAGGGTAGCTATTGAAAGATATGAATTTAGTACCATTGTATTGCCTGTAAGGTGACTGTTTCTGTATATTGTCTCTGTTCCTTTCTGGTCTGTTACTTTAGACTCTCTCTTTGCTTAGAGGACCCCTTTCAATATTTCCTGTAGAACTGGTTTGGTGTTTGCAAATTATTTTAGTTATTGTTTCTCTTGGAAGCTTTTTATCCCTCCTTCTGTTTTAAATGACAGCCTAACTGGATATAGTATTCTTGGCTGCATATTTTTCTCATTTAGTGCTCTGAATATATCCTGCCAGTCCTTTCTGGCCTGCCGGGTCTCTGTGGATAAGTCTGCTGCCAATCTAATATTTCTACAATTGTATGTTACAGACCTCTTGTCCCGAGCTGCTTTCAGGATTTTTCTCTTTGTCATTAATGCTTGTAAGTTTTACTATTAGATGATGGGGTGTGGACCTATTCTTATTGGTTTGGAGAGGGGTTCTCTGCACCTCTTAGGTTTTGATGTTTGTTCCCTTTGCCGTATTTGG